GTGTGTGTGTGCATGCCCGTTATGCTTGGCAAATGCCATGCCTGCGTGCCATGCAGTGTTGTGAAGTGTGTCTGTTGTGTATGCTTGCCTGCAAGCATTCATGCCATGCCTAGCACTGCTCTGCGCGCATGTATGCATGCTGTTCATTGTTTAGATTGTTTGTGTTCGTGCACACTCTGCCCATGTCGCCTTGGCAGCGTCATTGACTGTGTGTGCACTTGTCTTGTGTTTGTTTGAGCGTGCTGCCCGAGTTGATTTGGCAGCAGCTTGTTGTGCTTGTTCATTCTCCTTGTGTTCTTGTTTGTTGCGTTTGCCTACAGTAAACACACACACACACACTTGTCGTGTCTCAACTAACTGTAACAGGAGGGCCTGGGACGTGAACCGAGCAGGGCAGGGCGTCTTGGCACACTAACGAGAGCAGCAAACAACCAACGAGATGGAAAGACCAGACAAAGCACTGGCGGCGGCTTGAAAGTACACCACAGCAGGTAACAGTGCTTACGCGACCATTGTCGTGGAGCGTCAACAGGAAGGGAATAACGAGAGCAACAGCGGACGATCTGGGCGAAATCCACTCGATCAAGGTTGACACACAACACAAATCAACACGAGACAACAATGGATGAGGCCAATCGGTCACTTTCCAATACGCCTCTGTGCCTGGGCTTGATGGATAGCCTCAGCCCACTCGGCGAGTGTCTGATCGGAGCGCTCGTCAACGCGAATGACAAAGGTTCGGCCGGGAACGGTGATGTGAAGTTCATTGACAACAACATCCGCATCGGTTGAGCTGGAGCTGGAGCGGGGCCGTTGGTGCTGTTTCTGTTTCAACTCGGACTTTGTGATGAGGTTGAGGTTGATCTTTCCCTTGTGCACTCGGTCGTGCTGGGTCCTGTAGTAGATGAGAGCATCATCCGTGAGCACAAACCAGCGTGTTTGAAATGCTGTGTTCCACAACCCGCGCTTCCTCAGCCAGCCTGACAGGCGCCCAGGACGCACGGCCTGCACAAAATGCATCAGTCAGTCAGGCAAGATGAGTGTGGAATAAAACAAACACAGCCAGCAGCGCAAGCAAGCACACACACATACACACATCACGCGTACACACAGACACACACACACCCACCTCGCACACACACACACACATCACGCACACATCACACAAAACAACAAACGAACTCACAGGAGTCTGAGATTGTGACGCGCTGGTAGCTTCATCAAGCGCAGCTTGAGCCTCTTGAAGGTTGGCTTTGACCACGCATGTGTGTGGATGGTCAGCACCAAAGCTTGCTTCCATAATTCTTGCTGCGCATTTGTAAGCCTCCACCGCTGTTGCAAAGTCGCCCTTGCCTTTGGACACATGGCCGATGCTGTTCAGTGCCCGCGCAGTGCTGGGGTGGTCGTCCCCAAGCACACGGCGATTGATCTCAAGCGCGAGCTCAAAGCATTCAAGGGCCTGGTCGTCATCGCCAGTCGCACGCAAGGCGCGGCCAAGGTTCGACACAGCAACAGCTGTCTCAGGATGCATGTTGCCCAGCACTGCCGACCGAATCTCCACAGCCCTGTGCAGGAACTCCACTGCATCATCTGCGGCGCCGATGGAGGTGTAAGCACTGCCGAGGTTGTTGAGGCATGTGGCCACGTCAGGGTGCTCGTTCCCAAAGGCGGCAATGGTAATCTCCAAGCACTTGATGAAGTGCTCGATGGCGCGGTCGTGCTCTCCTTTGTTGCTGTATGCGGCGCCGAGGTTGGAGTACGTCGTTGCCACATCTGGGTGCTTCTCGCCCATCACGCGAACACCGATGGCCAAGTCCTTCTCATACATCTCAATAGCGCGGTCGTATTCGCCAAGCGCGCGGTACGCCGACCCCAGTCCGCCGTAGCTTGCCGCAGTGCCCATGTGCCACTCGCCGAGCGAGGCCTGCGTGATCTGCAGGTCCTTCTCGTACATCTGAAGCGCCTGGTCGTAGCGGCCCTGTCCCATGAAAGCTGACGCCATGCTGTTGTAGAGGTTGGCCACACTCGGGTGCTCGTCACCAAGCGCAGCCACAACGATTGCGATCGCCTTCTCAAAGTATTCCACCGCCCTGTCGTAGTCACCCTTGCTGTCGTGGACGGTGCCAATGTTGCCGTATGCCAGGCCCGTTGTGCTGTGATCCTCGCCAAGCGTGTCGCAGAACACCTCCACAGCGCGCTGATACGATGCCAGCGCCTTGTCGTAGTCCCCGAGTGCGTCATAGGTGCGGCCGAGGTTGTTGTAGGTGGCGCCCGTGTTTGGGTGCTTGTCACCGTCCTTGCTTGCAGCACAGCTGATGCGGACCGCCTCCTCAAAGTGCTCAATGGTGCGTTTGTAGTCGCCCTTCTCAAACAGACCTCTGGCGAGGTTGTTGTGTGCTGTGGCCGTCTTCACGTTGTCGGGGCCAAGCACAGTGGTCCGGACCTTGAGCGCCTTCTCCTGGTACTCAATCCCTCGGTCATAGTCGCCCATGCTGATGCAAGTGGAGCCGAGCGTGTTGTAGGTGGATGCAGTGCTCTCGTGCTCCTCGCCGTTAATGCGCAGCTGCATGCCCAGGCCGGCCTGCAGGGCCTCCATGGCGCGGGAGTAGTCACTTTTCGCGCTGTATGCCGCGCCAAGCGTCGTGTACGCGGTTGCGATCTGCGCATGTTCACCACCCCAAAGTCGTTTGAAAATGGCCAGTGCCTTCTCCAGCATCTCAATGGCGCGGTCGTGATCACCAAACATGAGGAGAATAGCGCCGACTTGCATGCACAGCCGAGAGAAGTTGTGCGCGAGCATGTCTTCGTCGTCGATGTCATCGTCGGTCGCTGGCGCATCTGCTACGTTCTGTGCAGGTGCTTGTGGAGGCCCATCTTCGCACTGCACGACCGACTCTGTCTCCTTCTGCACACTGACGTTCGGCTTCGCTGCAGGTGCTGTTGCTTTTCTCGGCGTGTGCTGCTGCTGCTGTTGTTGCTGCTGCTCGTAGTCCTTCTCCATACTCGTGACAAAGCCGATGGCATTGTTGAGACACCACGCTCGCATCTGGTCTTTGACGGCCTTGTTCAGGGCTGCAAAGCCAACGGAAGACTGGATGGCATGAAAAATCATGTCCTTGTCGGCCGGATCCCAGGCATCCGCCTTCTCAGCGCGCACCTCCACGAGCATGTCGGTGACAACCTCAAAGTTATCCACAATCGCCTGCATGAATGCAGAGTGTTGCTGCGCTGGCAGGCGAATTGCCAGCCCGACGTTGTCTTGGCTGATGCTGCAGAATACTTCCCACAAACACCACGCACGGGTGAGCGGCACAGGATTGTTCCAGGGGGTCAGCACAAGCAGCACTTTGCCGATAGCAGCAATGGAGTCCTTGAACGTGGTGCTCCACCTGTAGCCAATCAATGACGAACACAGAGAAGCGAGAGAGAAGAGAAGAGAAGAGAAGAGAAGAGAAGAGAGAGAGTGTGTGTGAGAGAGAGAGAGAGAGAGACGGAGATTGTCAACAAAACAACAAGACAGGTGTGCAGACGTGACCACAACCACACACACACACACACACTTGTACAGGGAGGCACACATGCTGACACGCACAGATGCAAGCGAGCACAAAGACGCAGGCGCAGACACGCACAGATACACACACACACACACACACAGGTACAGACGCGCACACAGACGCAAGCATGCACGCAGACACACAGACACAGACGCAGACACAGACGTGTGTGAACGCACCATTCTTGCGGTAAGTTGGCAGTGACATTCGTGTGTTGGTTGTTGACAAAGAGATCAAACCAGAAGAAGGGCTCTTCACCCGTGCGATCCTTCTCTTCCTTTGCAAACTCGAGCAGGGTTGTCAACACATCAGCGATCTTGTATCGCCAAGCATGGGACACAAACACAGTTGCTGGGGCAACAAGTGCTGCATCTGCTGCCCGCATCACCTCAAGGTATGCACACTCGCTCTCCTTTGTACGAGGAACCACGAGCGAGGTACACGCCTCTTGAGTCGTCAAGTCCTGGTAGGAGTCAGGAAACGCATCTTGAAGATCTGTCAGGAACGCCCGGATCCCAGCTGCGCACACGCCGTGCGTGTTGATGCTGCCGTCCTTGTCCCCCATCGCTGTGTGTGCGCGCGCGTGTGTGTGTGTACGTGTGTGTGTGTGTGTGTGTGTGTGTGTGTGTGTGTGTGTGTGTGTGTGTGTGTGTGTGTGTGTGTGTGTGTGTGTGTGTGTGTGTGTGTGTGTGTGTGTGTGTGTGTGTGTGTGTGTGTGCGCGCGTTGATGAGCGTGCTTCGCTGGATCCACATCAGTGAATGAAGAGGAAGGACAACTTAAGGCAAAATTGCCTTGCACACAAAGCGAAATTGCCTTTGCTTGGTTTGGCGCGCCACTCCTCGTGCTTTTGATGACGATGCACCCAAACAAATAAGCGAAGCGTGCACCGCATGACATGCGGTGATGATGCGACCGACTCCCCAACACTCACCTCGGCGTCATTGGAATGATGATGACGGAACAGCATGAGAAGCACGCGATGATGACAGCAGCAACAAAAGCCACGGACACAGGGTGATGCTGTGCATTGCAACGAAGAAGCGTTCATGCTGCTGCTGTTGCTGTTGCTGCTGCTGCTGCTTTCCTCATGAGGTGCGGCACCGACCTCTTTCATCCGTGCCACAGCGAATCCGCACCGGCTCCCACACAACACAGCCAGGCAAGCCGCAACCCAAGCAACTTGAGCAGTGGACACACATGAACATGGCGGAGCGCTTCTTCGCATCAGCCATCAAGAAATGGGTGTGAGTGGACCCATGCCCCAACCACGCTGCTTCCGAAATTCGTCATCGTTTCCTCGCAACAACAACAACAGCAGCAGCAGGTGAGACACACTGGTCGCTGTCGTGCTGTTATTGTTGGTGTGTGTGTGTGTGTGTGTGTATTTCACCCACACCTTTCTTCTTCTTTCTTCTTCCATCCTCTTCCTCCTCTTCCTCTGCTGTTTTGTTGTGCTGGTGGTTGCGTCTTTTCGGTTCTGTTTGTTGATGTGTGTGCGTGTGTTTGTTGATGTGTGTGCGCGTGTGTGTGTGTGTTTGGGTGGTTGGGGAATGACAAACGTGTTTGTTGATGTCATCGCGCGCTGCACGGCCAGCTGCATTTGTTTCATCCACGCACGTGGTTCCCTTTGCGGCTCCCTTTGCGGCGGTGGCACACGGTTGCTCATACTTCTTTTTCGTTTTTCCCTTCCTCTCTTCCTCTCCTACTGTCCATTCCCATCACACCTCTCCCACCTCCATCTCCTCTTCCCCCCGTCTTCCTTCCCTCTCTTCAGTGGATGTGCTCTTTGCACGCCCACCCCCCTCTCTCTCTCACATACACACGCACTGACTCACACACACACACACACACACACACACACACACACACACACACACACACACACACACACACACACACCCCTGCCATGTGCTCGTCACATTTCGTGATGAAGGACTGATGGTGCTTGGCTGAGGGAGCGTTGGCGCCAAACCCGCGTCCACCAACTTTCTCTTCTTCTCTTCCTCTATCGCGCGGCAAAGCAAGCTCTCTGTACCTGCCTGCGTGGCTTGCTTTTGGTTGGGTTGACTGCGCCGCCGACTGCACTATCCATTTCTTGGCCAATGTGTTGTTTCTTTGATGTTGGCACGCGGGCAACCAGCTCTTCGCTTCCCCTCTCCGTGTCTCTCTGTCTTTGTCTCTTCCGCACCTGGCGCTTGTTGTTGTTGCAGTTGTTGCACCACTGTTGGCGCGCTGCTACTGCTGCTGTTGCCAGCGTTGCCATTGTTGCTGCGGGCGCCAGCGCTTCTCTCTCCATCTCTCTCCATCTCTCTCCATCTCTCTCTCTCCTCTTGTCTTGTGCGGTCTATTCCAAGCACACTCTCTTGCGTGTGCGCATGTGCATGAGCGCGCGCTCCTGCGCATTGAAGGAGACAGCAACCAGTTTCTTCCTTAGCGCCTCTCTGTGGCAGCTACCACGACTCTTCCCCCTGCCTCGTCTGTTCTCAACAGCCTCCTCTTCTTCCTCCTTCCCCCTTCATTATCACGGTCCTTTCAAGCACTCACCCTCGTACTGTCTTCCTCTCACCTTCCACCCAGCACGCTCTTGCGTGCTGTCACACGCCCCCGCCCACACGCCCACACGCACGCACACACGAACACGGACACCTTTGTCGCACTGCGGCCTGTGCGCTGCGCCCCTTGCTTGGGGGATCGCTGCCTTTCGCGCCAGTGTTGGCAGTTTTCCGCCTGTGGCCACGGGGGCATATCCACCACGCCTGCTGTGCATCGGCGGCGCTGTGCGCTGTGTGCGTTGCGTGCGTCCTCGGCACCTTTCCCACTTTTCTTGCATTGGCAACGAATTTCACTTCCCGCGCAAACTTTGAGCTGCGCACAAACACACACACACACACAGAGCATTTGCCTTGCTTGTTGTGCACTTCATTGTTCAATTCTTCTTCTCTTCCTCCCTTCCTCCTTTTTTTCATACGTGCATGTATGCATGGCCCAGCGCCATCCTTCCTGTTCATTTTCATCTGGGCCACTGATATCGGGTCGGTTGCTTGAGTGCACCCGTGCTATCCTCTCTCTCTGTGCACCTGTGGTGCCTGTGTACGTCCCACGCACGCCTCTTCTTCTCCGTGTCTGGTGGTGTCCATCACTCACCCTTCTTCTCCTCCGCCCTTCTTCTCCTCCACCCATCTCCCCAGCCCCCTAAGCTTCCGTCTCCTTCCATCCCCCCTCCCATCCCCCCTCAGCTTCCGTCTCCGCCACCCACCCGCTCTCCTCCTCCACCACCAGTCTTCTCTCTCCCTTCTCTCCATCCCCTGCGCGCTATCCTGCACCATGCCTCGGACTGCATCGTCAGTGGTGTGGAAGGACGCGTGCCTGACGACCAACGGCGTTGGGCCCGGTGTTTTGCCCACGCCAACGGTCGATAGCCCACCGCTTCTCCGCTACCCGGGCTTCACCACCAAGTACCCGCTGCCGGCGTTTTCCTTCGACAAGCTGCAGTCCATCTCCTACCACGACCGCATGGCACACGTACAGAAGCGCATCAACAAGTGGAGGGTTTCCGAGTTCACGGCGGTCGTGTCCCTCTCCGCATGTGTCTCCAAAGCTGTGAACTCCTGGGCAGCTGTTAAAGCTGCTGGCGAAGACTTTAGCATGGAGGATGAGCTGCCGCGAAAACGGGCCAAGATTCCTGAGTTCAAGAAGGCGTATTGCACTGGCTGGACTTTTCGCTGGGGCAAGCACGAGATCTTCATGACACCTTCGTCGCCGCCACCACCACCCCCATCTTTGTTGGCTATGCTGTCCGTCAAGATCCTGGCACCGCCCGCGTCGTGGAAGTGCGTCTTCTTGGCCTCGCCTCCACCCAAGGAGAGGGCGCTGCCTTTTGTGACAAGCGTGCCGCTGTCACCCCTTCCGTTGCCAGCTGCGACATCGGCGACGTCTGCTTTTGTCGACGACTTGTGTGCGCGTGTTTCTCCGCGCGGAAAGGGCGTGTTGTTCGCCACGAACATCGACCTGTGTCAGGCCGTGTTCACTGAGCAGTTGCAGGAGCTGAGCGACGCCCTCCCCGACGAGCTGCACTGGCGCGGCGGCAGCACCATGCTGGCAGAGCTCGACCCCATCGAGGGCATCAACAGCCCGCAGATGTTCATTCATCTCCCGGGCACTTCAATGACGGCACGCCAGGAGAACAACAACCTGATGGCAATCAACATCAACGTCGGGCCGGGGTCGTGCGTGTGGTACGGCGTTGCTCCGCAGCACGTGGGCCGCGTCAAGTCGCTCTGCAAGAAGAAGGGCATCGACTTCAAGGAAGCATGGTGGCCAACACCTGGCGAGCTCGATAAGGAGAACATTCCGCTGGTGCGGTTCATCCAAGGGCCGGGCGAGGCTGTTCTCGTCAACCCAGGCACCCTTCACTGGGTTCGGGTGAGTTTCTCTCCTGCCTTGGTTGTGTGTGCATGCATGCACGCATTGAGATGATAGATGGATAGATAGTGTGTGTATCTGTGTGACACGATAGATGGATAGATAGTGTGTGTATCTGTGTGACACACACACACACACTGTTTGTGCGTGTGTATGTGTATGTGCATGTGTGTATGTGCATGTTTGTGTGTGTGCATGTGTGTGTGACTCTCTGCGAGTGCACTGTGTTTGATACTTGCTCGCAGCGATTCAACCACTCACCTATATTTTGGCACACGCATGTTGTTTGTTTGTCTTCATGCTCCACCCCTCTTTCTTTACCCCCCCCCTCTTCAAAATCTTGGTTGTTGGCGTCAGGCGCTGAGTGCATGCGTGCATGTGTCGTGGAACCTTGCGCCGGCCTGCGCGCTGCAGTATGTGTCGATGTTTGGTGCGACGTACCACATCGTTCCGCGCCGCCACCTTGCGCGCTGTGTCTTGTTGCGGGAGCAGAAGCGCCTGCCGCGTGACGCTGCCCTGTGCGCGGCCATGCTGCGCGTGGTGACGCAGGACCTGGAGGAGCACAGGGCCGTCTGCGCAGACAAGACGCTGGTCGCTGTGGCGTGCGAGCCGAGCAACGCGGCGTGCTTTGTGTGCGGTGGCGACGTGGGCAACGCCTTCTTCACCTCGTCCCCTTCTAAGGTGTTCTGCGTCAAGTGCCGCAACACCATTGTCGCCCGTGTCCGCACCGCCGCTAGGAGGGCCGGCACAGGCGAGGTGACGGCCGCCCTCATGCGCAAGACATGCCGGCGTGCATTTGGGCGCAGCAAGGACGCTGCCAATGACGACGATGACGACCCCACCAACCTACTCAAGGAGGTCAACTACTTCCTGTCGTTGGATGAGCTGGCGGCGATTGTTGAGCGCACACGCAAGCGCTTGCGGTCAAAGCGCACGCGTGCAGAGCGTGCCGCAAAGGCTGAAGTTGGCACGGAGCATATGGAGACCGTTCGTGAGTGGTTTTCACTCACCAAGCGCCGCCTTAAGCCAACTGCTTGGCCCATCAAAGGCCGATCGTGAGGAACGATGCTGTCTCGTGCCCCTCCCTTGTTTATCCTTCCTCTTTGTACCGCCACTCTTCTTCATAGTGTTCATCTCACATGCTTGCGCATATTGTGTGCTTGTGCTCGTCTCCCTTGGGCGGGTTGATAGTTGTGGTCTGAGCCTTTCCTTCGTGTGTATGTCTAGTGTGCGTGTGTGTTTCAATCGCAGATAGCTTGTGAGTGCCATGTTGTTGCTTTGTTCTTGTGCGTTGTTCTGCTCGCCTTGCGGCTGAACCGTGGAGATTTCCAACTTGCTGACATTCATTGGAGTGCTCTATTTATGTGCTTTGAATGAAAAGCTGGTTGAACTTGTGTAACAGCAGATGCCGCAGCAAAACAAGGAAGAGAGGCGTGTGGGTGTGTGTGGGCGCAGTGATGTCATGCGCATGCAGCTGTTGCGTCATCACACACACAAGCCCTCGCACTCAGCCGTCTACGGGTTGAAGGAGGCGTTGAGGCGCGATTCCGGGTATGCACTTGCGTCCACTGCTGGACGCTGAGTGAGTGAGTGAGTGAGTGAGTGTGTGTGTGTGTGTGTGTGAGAGAGTGTGTGTGCGTGCGTGTGTGTGTGAGTGTGTGTGTGAGTGAGTGAGTGTGTGTGTGCGTGCGTGTGTGTGTGTGTATGTATGTGTGTGTGTGTGTGTGTGTGTGTGCGCGCGCGCGCGCGCGCGTGTGTGTGTGCATTGTGGTGCTCGTGACACCCTCCCCCCCCCCAAAAAAAAAAAACGAGCGAGGTGTTGTTGGTCTCACCTGGTCATCGAGGTTGGCATCGTCCTCTTCTTCGTCGTAGTTGAAGTGGCGCTCCACAATGGATGTTGCGAGCGCTTTGATATTCTGCAACAAACCCCCGCAAACAGATACATGCCAGCACGCCAATCATGAGGTGCAAGGCCCTGGCTCTGAGGCCTGGCATGTGCAGGCATCACTGCTCACCATAAGTACACCAGCAGCCACCCATCCTGGGCAGCAGCAACGACAGAGTCCACATTTGGCGCTCACCGCAGCGTCGCTGTACTGCAAACTCTCAATGACGTCCACGACGTGATCTGGCACAAAGTCGCGGCCAACGGGGCCGTACTCCGTCATCAGCACATCCACAAAGCCGAGGCAGTTGAGCGTGCAGTCAAAGTCGGGCGTCTTCAGCAGTGCATACATCCCTGAACGCCCCACATCACCGCGCGTGCGTGCGTGCGTATGTGCGTGTTTGTGCGTGCGTGTGTGTGTGTGTATGTGGGGGGGGGGTCATGTGTGTCAGCCATTTCAGGGCGAGGGTTAGGGACTGCTGCTCACATGCGTTGAGGTCAAGGCAGAGAAGAGAGACAAGGGATCGGGGCGTGAGCGAGGAAATAACCTGTGTGAAAGGTGTTCTTGATGAGGGGATCGATACAGGTCGGGTTGGATGTGGCCATGTTCAGCACCGCAAACGAAACCTGCAACAACGGTGTGTCAAGCATGAGAAGAACGGCAAAACAAGATGAGGAAGACAAAAGCAAACGTCAGTGCATGATCGTGCAAGCAAGTTCATGCCATGTTGGTGGGCATGCGAATGTGTTGCAGCTTGGACGGCACCTCTCGCTGCAGTTCTGTTGTTTCCTCGAGCAAGTTCCTCAAGTGGATGAGGAGATCGTGTTGGAAAATCCCAGCAGCAAAGTCGGGGTTTGCGCCTGTGTTGGTGTTGGTTGTGTTGTTGACGGCGGCGGTGGAGGCAGTTGTAAATAGTCGGCGTTAAGGTAGCAGGGAATACATGCCAGAGGAGACCACGAACGCCAAAGCAAGACAGGATTCGCTGAATTGGGAGGATGTGAAGAGGAGAGGGGCATTCACGGCGTACCGGCGAGGTTTCCGATGAACCACGCCGTCTCCAGGAGAATGACCCTGGCAATGCGTAATGTGTGAGGCACCCAAGTCAATCGACCACCAAAACCTGAAGATAGCGGCGGGCGGGCAGGAGCAAGGGGGCAACGAGACCGCAATGCAAGCGTACTTTGATGGTAGTTGCAGCAAGTGCTCCAGCAAGTCAAACAGCTTCTCGTCCGCAAAGGGGAATATGCCTGAGACGCGTGCGAGTTGGGTGGTGGGCACAAGGCCAGTGTCAACAGCAGACGTGGAAATGGCACGAGCAGTGCCGTGGACACGGGCATGCGCGAGCGGAGACAGAGACGAGTATTCCATCGGGCACACACACACACACAATATTGCACACACACACACAATATTGCACACACACACACACACACACACACACACACACACACACACACACACACACACACACACACACACACACACACACACACACACACACACACGACGACGACGACGAC